AGCTCTCCATGAGAAAGGTACCAGGCTACACTGGCATCCCAAACACCCAGTGTAGTCACCTACCTACTCATAAAGACTTCCTATTGGCTTAACTCCATATCTGAGCAGTCTTCTCTGGTGAATATCCCACAACAGGTGACAGGAGAGACATCTGGCTGTGAGTCCACCATGCAAAGGGTGTTCTGTGCTATGCTGAGGATTTTGAATCTTATGAGTCACCACATCAGTAAATCCAAACTTTTTAAGCCCTAGAATCAGATCTCTGTGTCAGAAACCCATAAAGAGATGTAGAAGCCGGAAGGTTGGTTCGCTGTCGCAAAGGTCCAAGTAAGAAATGATGGATGGACAGATTTTCAAGAGGAACAAAACAGAAGGAGCCGCTCAGATCTGGTACCTGGGCTTCTCAGAAAGATTCTCATATGCTTAGGACACTGTGGGTGTAACTAGACTAAAGGGCTCGTGCTCTCTGTTAGTTAGAAGGCCGATTCTGGTTCTTCAATTCACCTATGCAATAAATCACCTTATGGCAATGCTTGTCTGCCTTCCCTCCTAGGGAGCAAGACTCTGAGAGCAGAAAGGAACATTCCTAGAATATAAGATACTTTGTAAGTGTTTGAGGAGTGAATACATTTGATTTCTTTAATTTTTTTTTTTAAATTTAGATTTCTCAAAAAGGAAATTAGAAATGACCCCCAGGCCGAAAAGGAATTTGGCTATTAACAGCATCCTTGTTAAGCTGGACTCATGGGACATGGCTGCAATGCCAGCATTCCAGAGGCAGAGGTCAGAGGACTGAGACCCTTGACCAGTCTGGATTACATACATAGTGAGTTCCAGGTCAGCCTGGGCTTTGCAGCAACATTCTATCCAAAAGTGTCTCAGAGACTCAAACATGAAAATCCTTTGCATTCTACCATTTCAATTATTTATTCATTTAATTAATTATTTATTTACAGTTTATTATTTTGCCACTAATATCCTACTTTTCCAGTAGGGAGTAAGGCGACTCTAACAATGGAAAATCAAATCCTAGACACATAAAACAGCCTGTTTATCTCTCCACAAAAATCAAGGAAGTAATTCAGCAGTAATATCTTTCACATTCATGATAAAACATATATACTTTTTTTTTTGGCAGGGGCAAGGGAATTTAACTTCAGTCCTAGCAAATGGAAATGAGTCTGAACATGACCAGGAAGTCACTAGGAAGTAGGATATTTAGAATAGGGCCTCACTACATAGCCCTGGCTTCCCTGGAACTTGATGTTCTTGTGTGATTGGTTGACTTGGGAAGGGTGGGGCATGTGGAAATTGGTTCATTGTTTCTACTGTATGGGTTCTTGGAATTGAACTCAGATCATCAGACTTCGTAGCAAGCACCTTTACCTGCTGAGCCATCCTTCTGGTCCCAGAACTTGCTCTGTAGAACAGGTTGACTTTACTTCCTTCCTGAGAGCTGGGATTGCAGACATATGCCACCACCACCAACCACCATGCTAGATTTTCAGAGGACAGTAGCCGCAGGTGCCAGGCTAACTCTTTCTTTTGGGGGGAGGGGTGTGTGTGCTTCAAGGTCTGATTCTGTAGCTCAGGCTGGAATTAGAAGCATGGGCAACCACACACAGACTTTAAAGTAGCCTCAAGGTGTTAAATTGTAAAGTGTTCAGCTGGAGCCTCCAGCTCACTTGATGTTGAAAGCCCCATTCTCCTCTCTCCAAGCCTCGCCCTCTCAGAGAATCTCCAACAAACAAAAGGTGAGCAGAGCCCAGCTCCTTCTCCGAAGTTGCCAGTAGCCCAAGACCCCTCCTAAAGTAGCATTTTTTGACCATACCTGGGCACAAACCCAGCTTGTGGAGGACACATCATCACCCCCTACAGGGTATGTAAGGTCCCTGCTTGAGTTCTGCTGGCTACATGACTTCCACAGCCGGTCTCTGGGGCTGGAGGACTCACCCAGGAGTTGCTTTACTCAATAAGCAGTTTTTTTGTTTGTTTGTTTGTTTTTTGTTTTGTTTGTCTTAATTTTTTTTACTTTTTCAATTCATCTTATTCTGATTTACTGCATCAGCAGTAAGAAATAGAGAAACCTATTATCAAGATACCGAAAACCTACTATAAAGAGCAGATACCCATCCCAACAAGGCAAATTATGGGGCAAGGGGGCCAGTAATTGAGTCTCCAAGGGCAACAGGGAAGTTTAGGTCTCCCAAGAGACAAGAACAAGAGACTGGAAATTGCCATCCTCCACTTTCTGGTCTCTTTATTACACTTCTCACACACTCCTATTTTCTTTGAAAATGGTCTTCCCATTAGTGCTTCTGAACTAATGTGAGAGTTGTGAAATAATAAATAATAGTGGGAGGTTTCTTGACACACAATGAATGATCAAATGTTAATTCAAAATTTAACAAAGAGCCTGAGATGCTTCTGGCAGCATTTGCCAAGTGTTGAGTCATGAAACGTCAGTCACCTTAGTTCTGACACACAAGTACACTGGAGACTTTAAATGGCATCACGTCACACGACACCAATGAACGACGCCCCAGCTCAGATCCCAGACCACTGCATGTTATGAAGTACAGTGTTTTCCCTGTGCCATCAAAGAGGCATGATTCTGCTATCATAGAGGGGAGTGATTTAGTTGTGGAAAACAGTTCTCCTCCTGCTATTCCTCAGATATAAATATTGAGTTCAAATCTTCTCATTATATGACATTAGAAGTTTTGGTTTTAAATACATGATGGAAAATGGTCTTCCCAGTCCTAAAATAGCCTCGTAGTTAGTGTCATTCCTGGCCAACAGGCTTGATCTCACTCCCAAATTCCTGGGAAAGAAAATTAGCTTGGCCTACTGTGTGATTCCAGGACTCCATGCTAGAAGCAGTCAGCTGAGGTGGGGGCAGGAGGCCTATGTGTCATGTGAACAGAGGCCCTGCCCACACCTTAGCACAGGGAGTGTTGGGTGGGCTGGGCATAGTCAGGAGTCAGCAATGACCAACAAACACTTCAGCCACACTGAGTGCTTTAGAGTTGCACAAGCCAGGGAGCACACCAGAAAAGGATAGATAGATAGATAGATAGATAGATAGATAGATAGATAGATAGACAGACAGACAGATGAGAAATTTGTGATCCTCTTGCCTACTTCTTGGATTACAGGTCTGTATTACCATGCTCAACTACAACATAGCTTTCCTTTTCCTAATTGCTTATTTATATAAATGAGTCTTAAAGCCCCGGCGTCCCAATCCTTTTCCACAGGTGAACCGGGAGCTCCAGACTGTTGTGGAATATTAATTTGTGTTACATTTGTTCACACCATGGAACGTTTGTTTAATGATGCAAAGATGTGTTGCGTTCCTTTATGTTGTATTTGTTTAACGCCTAAGCTGTGCTACTTCGCCTGCCTAAAACACCTGAGGGTCTAATAAAGATCTGACTGGCCAATAGTGAGGCAGGAGCAAGGATAGGTGGGCTGAAAGGCAGAGAACATAAACAGAAAGAGAAATCTGGAAGGAAAAAAGAGGAGGACATCAGGGGCCAGCCACCCAGCTACACAGCTGGCCACAGAGAAAGACGTGAAGAAAGGCGTGCAGAAATAGAGAAAGATGAAAGCGCAGAGGCGAAAAGTAGGTGGGACAATTTAAGAGAAGCTAAGGCTGAGCATTTATAAGAAAGAATAAGACTCTCTGTGTGTATTTATTTGGGAACTGGGTGGTGGGTGGATTCCCCAAAAGAACAAAGAGAAAAAGGGTAAAAATCCAACAGCACCAGACCCAGGGCTCAGTGAGTATTTTATCTTAAAGAACCCCAGCAGATCACAAAGTGACAGACACATGGGAACGATTCTAGACAGGCCTGGGATGTTGAACAAATATATCAACAAGTACATCAACAGAAGAGAATTTACTCACTGAGCCTCCTGTCAGGTTGCCCCAGGTTCCCATTCACTCCCCAGGCCCATAGATTTCCATGCTAGTGCCAACTCCATTAAGTGGTCAAAGCTCATGCCTCAAGAATGTAAGCCACATCGACTGTCTCTTAACTAACAAATGTGTCTCCAGTGGCACAGATCACTCAGAGGGGGATGGTGACTTCATGTTTCACTGGAGCTATTCTTTAATATCTTAACTCTTTATGTCAAGGGTTTAATGTTTAAAATAATTAGATATACTGATATTTACTCCCTAAAACTTGCCTGAATTAAAAGGACAGTATGAGTCTTGAAGTTTCAAATTTTCTACTTTAATTCTCAACTGATTTGTGTTCACTCAAGAATAGGAAACCATGTCTTTAATAAGTCTCTGTGCATGTTAGCTGTGAATTGGCCAGGCAGTCAGGGCTCTGTGCAAACTACCAAAGCCTTAACCTTAAACAGATTTCAAATAGATGTCATGGGCATAACATCAGAGTGAAGGAGCATATTTCCCCAGGAAAAAAACACAAGTCCCCTGATTTGAATACCACCATACAATTTATAGAGTCCCAACTCCCCTTTAAATGTCACACACATAAAAATGTTCAGATGTATCACAGGGTGTCAACTTCTGCCTTGATGCCAGCAACAACAGAGTTCTCGATCACTTTTATTTCTCCACCACAAAGTACGGAAGGACAGAAAGGAATGGAGGGGTCACTTGCTAGCTAGAAGAGATGGGATCCCATTCACTTTGAGGAATGAGTAGAAAGAACTACTTTCCTAACACAGGTCTGTCTGGGCAAGGGGCATGGCCATACTTTGGCAAAAGAGCCAGACAGAATATAGAGCCAGCAGTTTTCTGGCTTGAATTGTCAGCATTAGTGCAGGGTACAGCCCTTCTGAGTTCACTCCGGGTGACAGCAGGCACATGTGCCTGTGAGCAGCTGGACAGATGTTGCAAACATTTAGAGAGACAAAAATACAACGTGGAGAGATGGAGTTTCTGGCCTGCTCAGGTTTAGAAGCAGGGACCCCAGTGTGCCCCTGGAGGTCTGGGGAGCCCTAAGCGCAGAGCTATGATGATGACATATTTTTAATTGCATTTTTAGAATACAATTAACATTGAATTCTAAATACAATATAAATCTTCAATTTATAAAGATTCCTGGCTGGGCAAGGTGGCACATGCCTTTAATCCCAGAACTTGGGAAGCAGAGGCAGGGTTAGACTGTGAGTCTGAGCCCAATCTGGCCTACATTAGGAGTTCCAGGCCAGCCAAGGCTACATAGTGAGAAAATGGGGGGGGGATTCTTTCTTTACTTAGGTTCTGTTTCCCTAAATGGCCCCCTGTAATCATGAGTAAGTGGGGACCTTGTTAGCCAAGATAAGCAGGCTGTCTCAGAATTTCCCATAGGGAAAAGTGAGCTCTAATAGTTTTCTTCACGTAGTCTGTGAGCTGAGAAGTCCAAGTAGGAAGACACACAGGATGAGAGCAGGAGAGGCTGAGCCCTGGTGGACACTGGGCCCTCTGCTGAATGCCACCTTGACAGGAAAGAAGAAATCAAATGGCAGTTTCCAGTCCATTCTAGGTTGATCCCTTGGTGGCTCTGGCTTTCGAGTGATGTCCACGAAGCTCACAAGAGTTGTCAACGATACTTCTGTTCCCCTCTGGTGCTCCTACAGGAAGAGAGGCAAGGACAGGTCAGCTCTGGCATATTTCACGGAGTCTCCACCAGAATTACTATTTATCTTTAAAGGTTTATTTATTATGAATACAGTGTTCTGCCTGCATGTACGCCTGCACAACAGAAAGAGGGCGCCACATCTCACTATAGATCACTGTGAGACACCATGTGGGTGCTGGGAATTGAACTCAGGTCCTCTGGAAGAGCAGCCAGTGCTCTTAACATCTGAGCCATCTCTCCAGTCCCCCAGAAAATATTTTCTTTGGCCTGAAAACAAACATGCTCTAAGCAATATACATACATACATACATACATATATACATTTATTTATCTATCTATCTATCTATCTATCTATCTATCTATCTATCTATCTATCTATCTTACATATCAATCCCAGCTTCCTCTCCCTCCCTCTCTCCCATCCTCTCTTCCTCCCCCCACCCCGCCCCACTCCACAGGTAGGGTGATGCCTTCCAGGAGGGGTCAACAAAATCTGTCAAGTCATTTGGAGTAGGGACTAGGCCTTCTCTCCTGTCTCTAGATTAAGGGAGTATCCCTCCATGGGGAATGTGCTCCCAAAGTCCTTTTGTGCACCAGGGATACATCCTAGTTCCACTGTCAGATGTCCCTTAGACTGCCCAGGTCTCCTCACTGAGACCCATGTTCAGGGAGTCTGAGTCAGTCCAATGCTGGTTTCCTAGGTATCAGTCTGGGGAGGGCATTAGCTCCTCCTTGTTCAGGTCAGCTCTCTCTGTGGGTTTCTGTAGCCTGGTCTTGTCCTCCCTCTCTGCATCTGGATTCCAGTTGCAACATACATCTTGAATGGTTCTGTGTAGTTCTCTTTGTGTGAGATAGGAGCAAACAAATTTCTAACATCCCACTGCTCCAGACCTGTGAACAGGTCCACCTGAGGACTCATTCTCAGAGCCTGGCATACACGCCCTTGGAGGGTAGAGACAGGAGAGTCAGGAGTTTAAGGTTATCCTTGACTACAGCAAGTATGAGGCCAGTCTGGGCTATAGAAGACCCTGCCTCAGAAGAGACTTCCACTATCTCCTAGTAGGGAGCTGACTGAGAGCAGAAAGGCCAGATGACCAAAGCAGTGCCGTTGCAAGTGTGGCAGCTCTCCCCTAGTGGGCCTGCAGGCTGCAGCTGTGAAATAATACTCTGTGAAAACAGTGAGGATGGCTGAAACTTCATGGGGGGGGGGGACGGGAGGGGGGACAGAAAACAAAAACCTTACCTCAATTATCAGATTCAGATTCTTAGGTTTAAAAAAAGATTGCCCAATTTTCACCAATTCAAGTCAAATAGAAGGGTGCTCCCAGGAGATATGACCATGCAAGGCTGCTCCCATTATTTAATCTCAGAGATGGGACTTCTCTAGATGAGGCTGTGGCTGATGTTATGTTCCTAAAATGAATCCCTTTGTTCTGATCCTGTGCTTACCAAGCAAACCTTGATTCTAATTTGAGAGTAAATAATTGTAGAACTGGAATAGAACTTTACTGTTTTCCCTTCATCACTCTGATGCACATACCTGTTATCTGCTGGAGTTCATTTATTTATTTATTTGTGTTTCCAAAGATTTATTTTATGTGTGTGGGTGTTTTTGCCTGCACATATGGCTGTGTTCCGTGTGTGTGTGTGTGTGTGTGTGTGTGTGTGTGTGTGTGTGTGTGTGTGCATGTACATGCACATGCACCTGCTATCCAGGGAGGCCAGAAAGGATGTTGAATCCTCTAGAACTGGTGTTACTATGGGTTGTAAGCTATGATTTGGGTGCTGACAACTGAACCTGGGTCCTCTACATGAGAAGCCAGTGATAATCTCACAGGTTACATGAACTTCTAGGGCTCCTTTGTAAAACAGTCACACTCGCCATCACTTTGGCACAGAACTGAGATGCTCAGACACTGCATCCAAGGACAGCCTGCCTTGGCTCAAGTGGCCCAGGGAATACAAGACTCCAACCAGACACTAAAAACTAGCTGAGACTAACCACACAAAGAAAATTAGGGCATGTTTAACAGAAAATTTAAGAATAAGTAATACATTTTCTTTGGAATTTCACTTATGATAGTGTTTTTTGTTAGGACCTTAATTTTGTTTCTGGGAACTTTAGGATGAAAATGAGGTATACTGACAATTTTGGAATAATGTGACATCACTAAGGGTGTCATTTAAAGAATGCTCATGAGCTGGCTAGAATAGTCAGAAATCCTTTGGGATGGAAAATGGAACATGAGTGAAGTTTCATTTCCAGGCTTAGTGTTGTGTAGAAACTTGGTTAACATGCTGAATCACTTCAGGGCCTTCAGGAGGAAGGGAAGACACTCTTTTAATTGCCTGGATGTCCTGGGAGGACACTGCACAGAGCTGGGGTTAGAAATGGGGTGGCGGCCTCAGACGGAAATCACCCATCCATGTCTAGTTGCAGAGTGTTTATCAGGAATAAAACTGACTTTTCATTTCTATGATATTTAAAATTTTTTGCTTTTATTCTTTGTGAGCATGCAGTGTGTGTGTGTGAGTGTGTGTGTGTGTGTGTGTGTGTGTGTGTGTGTGTGTGTGTGTAGGCGTGTGCACGCGCATTTGGATCAGAGATCAACTTGTGGGAGTCACTGCCCTTCTTCCACCATGTGGGTCCCAGAGATCCACATTTTAATGTCTACTTGCCTGACTCCCTTTTGTAATTTTTATCTTACAATTTTAATAAACACATCAATCACACACACACATGTTGAGGGTATGGTGTACTATTTTAAGACATAATATACAATAGGGAATGATCAGATCAGGGTAGCTGGCATACTGACCAACTTGCCATTCAAACCCAGTGTCTGGTTTCTTTACATTGGTTTCCAAGGCAGAGAAAAGACTTCAACTCAGGGACCTGAGGTGGCCATACACCTAGAACTAACTTCCCAGACACCCATAAACCAAGAGGGCAGCTGTGACGCTGAAGAGAGAATTCTCAACAGAGGAATTCAAAATGGCTGAAAGACACTTAAGAAAGTGCTCTACATCCTTAGCCATCAGGGAAATGCAAATCAAAACAACTCTGAGATACCACCAAACTCCTGTCAGAATGGCTAAAATCAGAAACACCAATGATAACTCATGCTGGAGAGGATGTGGAGAAAGGGGAACACTCCTCCACTGCTGATGGGAGTGCAAACTTGTACAGCCATTTTGCCTGTTCCTCAGGAAAATGGGAATCAGTCTAGCACAGGACCCAGCAATCCCACTCTTAGGCATATACCCAAATGATCCACATTAATGCAACAAAGTCATCTTTTCAACTATGTTCATAGCAGCATTATTTGTAATAGCAAAAACCTGGAAGCAATCTAGATGCCCCTCAAATGAAGAATGGATAAAGAAGATGTGGTACATTTAAATAATGGAATACTACTTAGTGGAAAAAACCAATGGAATCTTGAAATTCGCAGGCAAATGGATGGAACTTGAAGAAACCATCCTGAATGAGGTAACCCAGTCACAAAAAGAGGAACATGGTATGTACTCACTCATATATGGATTTTAGACCTAGAACAATGGATCACCAGCCTATAATTCACACCACCAGAGGAACTAGAATACAAGGAGGAACCTAAGAGACTCATACAAGAGGAAAGGGACAAGATCTCCTGAGCATATTGGGGGGGGGGGATGAGTGGAGAGGGAGTTAGGAGAAAGAGAAGGGGAGGAGAACATGTGGGACCAGGAAGATTGAGTCGGGACGAATATAGGAGGGGGAAAAAAAAAGAGAGAGAGAGAGAGCGATACCATAATAGAGGAAGCCATTATAGGTTTGAAGAGAAAACTGACTCTAGAGAAATGTTCAGAGATCCACAATGATGACACCAACTAACAACCTGAGCAAAAGTGGAGAGGCTACCTTAAATGCCCTTCCCTGATATAGTAGTGTTGGAAACAGAAGCAGACACCCACAGCTAAACACTGGGCTGAACTCCTGGAATCCAGTTGCAGAGAGGGAGAAGTGATAAGAAAAGGGGTCAAGACCAGGCTACAGAAACCCACAGAGACAGCTGACCTAAACAAGAAGGAGTTCATGGACCCCCCCCCCCAGACTGATAGCTGTGAAACCAGCATTGGACTGACCCAGACCCCCTGAACATGGGTCTCAGTTAGAAGGCCTGGGCAGTCTAAGGGACCTCAGACAGTGGAACCAGGATTTATCCCTGGTGCACGAAAGGACTTTGGGAGCACATTCTCCATGGAGGGATACTCCTAGAGACAGGAGGGAGGGCCTAGATCCTACTCCAAATGACTTGACAGATTTTGATGACCCCTCCTGGAAGGCCTCACCCTCCCTGTGGAGTGGGTGGGGAATGGGATGGGAGTGGGGGGGGTTGGGGGGCATTGGAGGGAGGGAGAGGGAACTGGGATTGATATATAAGAATATTGAAATATATGTAAATAAAGAAAAGAAAAAAAAAGAAATGCTCATTATTCTCATTTGATCATTACACGGTGTATCAAGATCCCATTCTGTATCCCAGAAACATGTACAAGTATTATACTCCAATTAAAACCAAGAAAGTCTTTACAGCTGTATGTGGGCTTAGAGGAAATGCAGTCCAGTTGGAAGGGATGGAATTGTACTCACCCGGTCACTGAGCGACACCAAATGTGGCCGACCCACTTGAGAGTGTGACTGTATTACCACCAGAGAACAAGGTTTTCAGTTATGTTCAGCGTATCAAATTGGGATTTTGAAGTCTAAAGTTTCTGTCTTTGCATGTTAAAGTTATGTACAGGCAAAAAGTGTCCGCTGTGTGAGTCACTAAAACAATTCCCTCTAGCCCTGCTCGCCTCTCCTCTTTTGTTGAGGCAAACAATGGCAGAGCCATGGCAGCACATTTCCTTTTACTATGGCTCCAGTTCTATTATGTGTGGTTGACTTCACTTATTTCTATTTTAAGTGATAATGTTTTACGATGTTTATTTTAAGAATCATCGCCAATGCTTCCTGAGGTTTGAGGTTTATTTGCTTTACTTCAATCTACAATGCAGCAAAACCCTTTCTTAAATATATGAAGCAATATGAAGAGTTTGGGGTAGGTGTGTTTGGCTTTTGTAACAGGATGTATTTTTTGTATTATATTGCGTCTTCGTCAATTTTTAAACCACCATGTTCTCTATCCAATCATTACAAATGGAAACAATTATTAAAAGGCTGGGACACTTCCTCTGACATTGTGTTTTGCAGCGACACTCATGACTATGAACTAGAACAGGCATCTTTGGCCAGAATGTAATTCATGACTGAGAAACCCAAGTTTTGCATTCTATGTGAAAGAAATACCATCAGATGCATATACTGTGAGTATTTCCCTCTGGCCAGCTTTTCCTGTCATTCATTTTTTTCTTAAATGTCTTTTCGTTGGGTTTTAATGCTTTATCTGATGTATAACTTACAAACAATAAAATAGATGTGCATTAGTGCTTAGGTCAGAGTTCTGATTGATAACTGTACCTTATCCAGCCAAAGCTAAAACAAGGCCCAGAAGGTACATCATCTCAGTTCCTCTGAGATTCCTTTTCAGTCTCATCACTGGACCAGTTAATGGGTCATGATCAAAACACAGCTGAAATTCTAACTATTATCCGCTTCCGTCAGGTGAACTCAGTGACTCAACCATACTGTAGACAGTGCAAACTAACTTGAAAAGCTAACTGCGAACTACCAGAAAAAGACACGGGGTACAATATCTAGATAAGAAACAGGGCCATGGGTGGCTGTAATGCCCAGGAGAGTTGTAGTCTTTGGAAAAGAACAAGTACAAAAACAGTCCTGTGACAACAGGACTCAGGTTGCAGTTGGGAAGACTTTATCAGTGGATTCAGCACAGGCTCGGTAATAGACTACAAGAGTCTCACAGAAACATGTCCGTCTAGACAAAGAATAGGAAGCTCTTAGTGAAACTTTCCGATAACCTGAGTGCTAACACCACCCATAGGCAGACAACCAAGCTGCCCAACGCTGATGCTCAGGAGAGTAAAAGTATGTTACACCCGACCTAACCTAAATGCGGTTCCCAGTTTCTTTTCTGGAAAGTAAATATGCTGCAACAAACAGAAATTTCAATGTTTTGATTTTCATTAAAAATAGTATCATACCTGTTTATCATACGCGTATCATTTCACCTCATTATTTCTAGGTTTAAAAGTTTATAAACTTTTGAACCTGTACAACTAAAGATTATACTCTAAAACCAAGGCAGGTGCTAAGTGTCCCCTATAACACATTATAAACAGTGGATATATGCTTATTACAGACAAAAACATTTATTTAATGGAGCCTATGGAAGCAAGAATTGATAACTACACCAATAACTTTAATCACAACCAACATTTCAAAAACACTATTAATTCAATGACTGTCACAGTGAACACACACACATGGAAAATCAGATCGGTAGTAACAGTAGGATGATGTAAAAGAAATTAACCTATATTGCTGAAATCAGGGCAGAGGAGGGCAGGGAATGGAAAAGGTTGTATTTATTCACTATGACAAAATATTAACTTCCATAACCACACTGGAAAGATGGACTTGAAATGCATCTTGGGGACTCACTCTAAAAAACACACTGGAAACATACACCACCTCACAGAAGTTTAACAATGCTCCAGTCATCAAATGGCTGCTGGGAACATGACTTACCTGTACAGACTTGCATTGGTACAGGAACCGGGCGCCTGCCACATGAGCTTGTGGGTTGGACTGGAGTCCTATATGTGCCCACAACACCTGGATCTCCAGGGAAACTGGGATAAAACAGCAGGAAGTGCAGTTAAGAGCCTGCAGAAGGTAAAGAGCATGCACTCAGTTGCCATCATTTTGCTTTTTGAAAGATTTTTTTTTAAATTTTAATTTTTATGTACTTTGGAGTTCTGTTTGCACATATGTCTGTGTGAGGGTGTCAGATTCCCCTGGGATTGGAATTACAGACAGTTGTGAGCTCCTATGCAGGTGCTGGGAATTGAACTCAGGTCCTTGGGAAGAGCAGCCAGTGCTCTTAACCACCTAGCCATCTCGCCAGCCCGAAAAGGTTTATGTTTATTTATGTGTGTGTGTTTCTCTTTGCACATGTATGCAGATGTGCATGGAAGCTAGAGAGGGTGACAGATCCCCTGAATATAGTTATAGGCAGGTGTGAGCTGCCAGCGGGTGCTCTTAACTGCTGAGCCATCTCTTAGCAACTCTCTAGCAGCATCACGTAGTAATACTGGTGGCCCATATGGCTTAGAGGAAGCACAAAACCAGGCCGTTTAAATGTTCTTAATCTTTAAAAAAGTTGTAGTTAAAAGTTATCAACAGGCTGAAGATTATTCTTCTGAAGACGAAAGATGCATCTGACAATGTGGTCTGGCGATTCTACTGTTGGGTGTAAACATTCAATGAAAATGAAACCAGCATGTCAAATGCAGCATTATTCACAACAACCAAGACAGGCTCTCAACTGAGGCTCCCGTCTATGGATGAGAGGATGAAGAAAGGTGTGGTATTCACATAATGGAGTATGATTCAATCATTCATAAAAGGAAGAATGAAACCTTGTCATTTTGCAGTAAAATGGGTGGACAAGGAGAACACTACATTCTATGAAGTGACACATGGGCACACTGTCATGCACAGGTGGGGACTGAAAATGTTGATCTTAACACAGAGGAGCAGAATTCTACAGTGATTACTGGAGACTAGTTCAAGGTGGGGTGTGGTGTACAGAGAGGAAGGCAGGATAATCAGCACCAAACTACAGCTAAACAGGAAGAAGTCTCTCTAGTGCTCACAGCACAGTAGGGCAACTACTACAGGTTTCAAATCACCAATTGCTCACAGCACAGTAGGACAACTACTACAGGTTTCAAATCATCAATTGCTCACAACACAGTAGGGCAACTATGGTTTCAAATCACCAATTGCTCCAGCGCAGTAGGGCAACCACAGTTTTAAATAACTGATTGTGTACTTTATGCAGAATTTGAAGGTTTAATTCCTAGCAATGAAAGGAAAGGTGACTTGAAAAAGAGGAGCTAACGACTCTGAAGGCAACGATAAGGGGGTGAAAATGATCACTAGCTCTTGTGTGAATATACTCAAGTTTCACAGACAGTCCACACATATATAATCATGTTAATTAAAAATAAAACTTCCAAAGCTAATGACTGGAAGGAGAAACATTCACTAAATGACAGTGACAAAGTGTCTCCTATAGACCAAGGATATTAAAGGCCGTGGCCTTGAGCACACAATTTGGATAAAGAAAAGGACTTGAACACAGAAGCAATGACAAGTCAAATAAGGCATATTAGGGTTAGATTCGGAAGCCGTTCAAATAGTCTGTTTTGAAGGTATCAGGGAGCCATGTATGTTTTCAGAACAGAAGCATGGCATATTTAAAGCAGTCCCTAAGAGAACTAATTGTAAGATGCAGGAAGATTCACCTTATTTGATTTCATCTTTTAAGCCATTAATGCCCTTTAGGTAAATGTGAAAAGTGTGGTCTTTATCTGGTGGCACTGAGAACTGAACCCAATTCAGCTATCTGCCAAGAGTTCTCCACTGAGCGCCACACACTGTCCTAAAATCCTAACTGGTTGCAACCACAAGAGAATGAGCCTGGTGCCAGCCTCATAAACAAACCTGTATTGACCCAATATTTAAGACTGTAAGTGTAGCTGGAAGCGTGTTTCATCAGGTAAAGCTTGCTTGCTGTCAAGCCTGGCAACTTGAGTTTGACCCATATGGTAGGAGAGGACTACCTCTCCAAGCTGTCCTCTGACTTCCATATATATATATATATATATATATATGCACATGATAAAAGCAATGGAAAAAAGGAATATAAGAGAATATTTGAAATATATGGCATGGCTTTGAACCATGAGCAAACCATCATGGTTCCCAACCTTCCTAGTGCTGCAGCCCTTTAATACAGTTCCTCATGTTGTGGTGACTCCGACCACAACATTATTTTCATTGCTACGTCATAACTGTCATTTTGCTACTGTTATGAATGATAATATAAATATCTGATATGCAGGATGGTCTAGGTGACCCCTGTGAAAGCGTTGTTCAACCCCAAAGGGGCTGCAAGCCACATATTGAGAACCACTGCTTTAGATACTGCTTTAGATTATCTTCAAGTTTTTTTAAAGTAAGGAAAATAGATACATATGTAACCTGCAATAGTGACTCAAACAGTCATAACTTTTTACATCCCTCTTTATATGATAAATACAGACAGAAGGAGGGCTGGTTTTTGCCTTGCTACCCATAATTTCAAAGGTGGGAAGTGAGCAGCCAGTCAGCGGTGGCTTCCTTCCTTACTGAAACACTGCAGTTCCTGCTGAGGATCCTTCTCCACCCTCCTCTCTGGGCTGGGTCAGCATTGCCAAAGATGGCAACGTGCTCTGGTCTGGGATGTCCATGAAGAGCCTGGTAAATCTCCTTCTGCAAATGGCTGCAGTTCACCTCTTTGGGTCTGTAAGTAAATGCCATGAAAGCTGGATTACAAAACTAGTAGGGTAGCAGGTCATATTAGCATTCAGATATTAAAATTAATATTATGAGAGGTTGGAGGAAATACCCTTAGTAGGGTCTCCACACCATTAGGAAACACTTAGCAATACAGTAATAGATGTAAAGACTATCATTTTCCACAGTGTTATTTACAGTGTTAAACAGTTACTATTTCAACATAGTCCCTATAAACAGAAACAAAATTGTGGGAGGTACTCTGAGGCAAATAATTACCTTAACTTGCAGCCAGATACTGCGTTCACGCCAAACTGTATTTCATGTCTCTTAACAGAACAAATTCCATTACCCTCGCTCTGCAACAGGGTCATCTGAGGTGCAAAAATGATGGTCAAGGCGATTATGACAGAAATAGGAAGTGGACAGGGCTGGGAAATCGATGCTTTCATCGTTCCCTAAACATTATCTGTATTTTATATACGCATAGGAATATCTCATTAAAATAAACAAAAGTCAGTACAACCCTCACTTTGAGCCCGCCAGAGTTGTAAAGCATGTGAGAACTGCTTCTGGTAAAGAAAGTGCTGAGTACCAAAGCCAGAGGGAACCTTGAGAACTGGAAGACCCGAAACATCAGCAGTCTTCCTGCCAGGCTGCAACAGTCCACCCAGCTCCCAAAAAGATACTGAGTGACGGAAGTCACCAGTCAGCACCAGAAGTGGCTTTCCGATGAGGTAGCCAGGATTCCCACTTCTAGGACCAGTAGGAAGAGCATCCATGCGCTGCGCAAATGCCTGCAGAAGGAAGAAGGCAATTACTGTGCAAACGTGCTTCCCAGCCAGACTCACATCTTCCCTCAGAACAGGCAATCTGTGAGCTGCGCTGAGCAATCTTCTCTTTGACACACTGTAGCATTATTTCCATTTATTCCCTTTCTAAAATAAATCTGGAGTGATCTGTTTGTTTTCTGGGGTGTACTGAGGATCGAATTCAGGGCCCTGCGTATGCTAGGCAAGTGCTCTCCCCGTGATCCAGAGCAATCTGAACAGAAATTCACTGTGTGCTAATTCTGCCAAGGAGCAAATAAAGACAAGGATCTACTAAGGATCCCTTGACACTATTTCTCACATGTTGACTTCGTGCAATGTGTGTGGCCTGGCTGAACGTAGAGGAATTTAAATGCAAATTTTAACCCAGTAACAGGGCTGATCTTGGCTGATCACAGACTTGGAAAGAACTCTGCTTGGTTCAAAAGGAGGAAAGTGGTAGAAGAAAGGCAGATAGATGTGAGTAGTAAAGGCCGCAAACCAAAGATTCGGCGAGAAACAAATATGAACGTCCAAAAAAGAGAAAAAAAAGAACTGTGTGCTGCCGAACTTAAGACTCACCGTGAGCATCTTTGACAAGTTCTGGTTTGGGGACCACTTTGTTTGGGTCCAAACAGAGCATCACTGAAAATGTTAACGACACACATATATTCAATACCCGTCGCTCTAGCCAAATTATGGAACAGTAAATTTCAAGACCTCAAATAAGACCAAAGCAGGCCTTAATATTCTGATTCTATTTTGCAGGCATTACAGAAACAGAGTGCTATTATTTCTTTGCTATGAAGCAGAGTGGGAGATTTTATTAAAGATATTTTAGTAGGAGAAAGAGAGGTGCTCAGAAAGACGGACAGACAGACCCAGTATGGATACTAGCTCTGCAGAGTTCTATTTCTAGGACTTAGACCCTACACCCTGTCTGAGAGAAGGCCACTGACCCTGAAGTGAATGATGAAATCCTGTTGTAAGGAAGTGCCTGGCTTGACAGTCAGGTTGGTCTGTTTAAAGCTGACAGAGACTTTCTGGATCCCAGAGGTCCCGTTGGTCTCTATCTCGTAGATGACCTGAAAAGCCAGAGAAAAGTCAGTTAATGAACAGCTGTGGGGTTACCATGCCGAACACGGAAGACTGTTTTAACCGTGTGCAAGAGACTTAGACAGCAATTGGAAGAACACCAAGAGTAATAGCAGGAAACGATAAAGATGGCTTGATACTGCATTTGCAGTATTTGTGAAAGAGACCAGACAGAGCTCTTAGAAAAGTTCACAGAAGAGCTATGCTGAAGACAAGAGTTTTGAGTGTGGGCAGAGATGGGCAGGTGTGGTACTGGGCAAAGGGAAGACTAGAATGGAAACCTGGGTTACTAGACCTTCACAGTGCCTGAAGAGAAATCAAAATAGTAGCTGGGGACAGAAGGAAGCAGTCCTTAAAAGTGCTACTTTAAGATAATTTCTACGCCATTACACGCTTCATTGACTATAAGGGAGAACCGAAGTTGACTCATCTCAGACTGTGAGATGATATTGTGACAGCAGACGGAAATGTGAAGTCACTAGGCGCCAGCACAAAGGAAGAGTCTGAACCAAAAACACCGAGGACAGTAGTGAGCACTGTAGTGAGGACAGTAGTGAGCACTGTAGTGAGGACTGTAGTGAGCACTGTAGTGAGGACTGTAGTGAGCACTGAAGTGAGGACAGTAGTGAGGACAGTAGTGAGCACTGTAGTGAGCACTGTAGTGAGGACTGTAGTGAGCACTGTAGTGAGCACTGTAGTGAGCACTGTAGTGAATACAGTAGTGAGGACTGTAGTGAGCACTGTAGTGAGGACAGTAGTGAGCACTGTAGTGAGGACTGTAGTGAGGACAGTAGTGAGCACTGTAGTGAGCACTGTAGTGAATACAGTAGTGAGGACTGTAGTGAATACAGTAGTGAGCACTGTAGTGAGGACAGTAGTGAGCACTGTAGTGAGGACTGTAGTGAGGACAGTAGTGAGCACTGTAGTGAGCACTGTAGTGAATACAGTAGTGAGGACTGTAGTGAGGACAGTAGTGAGCACTGTAGTGAGCACTGTAGTGAATACAGTAGTGAGGACTGTAGTGAATACAGTAGTGAGCACTGTAGTGAGGACAGTAGTGAGCACTGTAGTGAGCACTGTAGTGAGCACTGTAGTGAGGACTGTAGTGAGCACTGTAGTGAGCACTGTAGTGAGGACAGTAGTGAGCACTGTAGTGAGGACTGTAGTGAGCACTGTAGTGAGGACAGTAGTGAGGACAGTAGTGAGCACTGTAGTGAGCACTGTAGTGAGCACTGTAGTGAATACAGTAGTGAGCACTGTAGTGAGCACTGTAGTGAGCACTGTAGTGAGGACAGTAGTGAGGACAGTAGTGAGCACTGTAGTGAGCACTGTAGTGAGCACTGTAGTGAGCACTGTAGTGAGCACTGTAGTGAGGACAGTAGTGAGCACTGTAGTGAGGACTGTAGTGAGCACTGTAGTGAGGACAGTAGTGAGGACTGTAGTGAGCACTGTAGTGAGCACTGTAGTGAGGACAGTAGTGAGGACTGTAGTGAGCACTGTAGTGAGCACTGTAGTGAGCACTGTAGTGAGCACTGTAGTGAATACAGTAGTGAGCACTGTAGTGAGCACTGTAGTGAGGACTGTAGTGAGGACAGTAGTGAGCACTGTAGTGAATACAGTAGTGAACACTGTAGTGAGCACTGTAGTGAGCACTGTAGTGAATACAGTAGTGAGCACTGTAGTGAATACAGTAGTGAGCACTGTAGTGAGCACTGTAGTGAGGACAGTAGTGAGCACTGTAGTGAGCACTGTAGTGAGGACAGGGCAGAAACGTGGTGAGTAGGAACGGGACGGGCTCAACCCCAGCAGTCCAGGGAGTCAGTCCAGCCGCTACAGAAGGCGCGGTCCCTCTGCTGATACTGACCCACGTGCAGCGCTTAGAGTCCATACCTGGGAAACTATGTTCTGACATGTGTTTCCCGCCAGCAGAGGGGGGCTGCTTTGTGAGGCAAGTGTTACAGGAACCTGGAGCTGGTAAGAGAAAGAAACAAATGTACTGAAATGGAAAATGCCCTTTCTCCCCCAGCTACGATGAACACCTTCTTTCCCGAGACCATCCTAATTTTCTCTCCTTTCAGTGCCCGACACCTTAAAGCCAAGTCACTCTAATGAGCTCATCTCACCACAAGCTTCCTGTTACACACGAAGCCCGGGCCCACAGCCAGTCAGATGTAAAGACGCAGAGACACCCACTCCAAATGTGGTGTTTTAGCTAGACTTAACTCAGCAACATTTCATCCGTCTTTATTTCGTGTGAAGCTATGTCTAGAGCCATGCTTGCCTGTGGTACAGGATGCCACCCTTCTCTTTCGTTATTATAATCTAGAATGAATTGGCCTCAGTTACACAAAGGCCGGGTATTCCCTTTTCCTGTCACATGGCATCATACCTTTGTATTCTGAAGATCAGTCACACCTCTTGGAACCTAGGAAAGGTAAAGAATGGACTCAGGGTGCATATGCCTTTCATAAAATCACCAAGAGTTCCCACTTCATATGACCCCAGACAGACTTCGGTGGGGGAAGGGAAGAAGATCAAAAGACTGGAGCGCCCTCTCATCATCACCCACATCTTCTCCCACTAAATGCCAGACAGCGGAGCTGGCCACCAGGCTGGACTGCAGTGCCCGCCGACCCAGATAGAGCTCCAGAAGCAAGAGCTTTGGTGAAACGGAACTGCCACCCGCTCCTTACTCTCTGAAGTAAACCCATGAGCCAGGATGGTGACAGAGTCTTACCAGGGTTCTATCGCCTTTAATTCTTCCTCCAGACATCAGTTTCCACACCCTCTACCCTATATGAAGATCTTAGGAATTATGACTTCCAGCTTAGGGATTTTCCTAACCCACAACAGTGAGTGACACGTGAACTTTCCAGGGAAGTTGAGTGATCTGAGTGAGCAGAATCTGCAGAGTTGTGGACAAGGCAACACCTACCTTCAAGACTGTGAAGTTATAGTAAGTGGCAGCATCCAGGGCTGGCTCCGAGGTGCAGCTACTTGCCAGGTCCCTGAAGAAACGCGTGCAGGTTGTGCTTTTACTCTCTAGGAAGCCTTGCAACACAAAGAGTGAAGATGGGGGTAAGTGAGAGAGCCTGTTTCCAGAAAAAGCAAAAGCCGGGACTCCTGCCCTGAACTCACCCGCAGGATTGCTCTCAGCACAAAATCCCCCAGCTCCCACTGCTGCGGGCTGCTTCAGTGAACTCACTACAGACCAGCTGGGGTAGTAAGTCAGGATGGGATGCCCAGCCTGAATAAAACACAGCAAGGTGAGACCCAACAGCCCGGAAAGAGGAGGCAGAAACAAGTTAACTTGGTGGCTTGTCTACTGTCCTCCAACAGAGTTGAGAATGGTTAGTCTCATTGTGGGAGGGGGTTACAAAGTTACATTGCCAAATGAAATGTACTCTGTCAGGAAAACCAGACAATTCCACCCCTTTCCCCAGGCGAACTCACCCTGTAAAATGGTAATGGCAGCTGGGTTTCAGGTGTTGAAGTAAAGAACTGGCCTCCAAACTCTGCAGCCAGGGCTGGGAAGTTTGTTGCATTGACTGTTTGGAGCTTCTGGAAATAGTTTAATTTTGCTAAAATTTTTAAAAAAAGAACAGAGACTTAGGTAAAACCATTTCTTTTTAAGTATCTGATGTAAGAAACACACATTACCATACTCAATGGACATCAAGAGTTTCAGAAAGTACTACAAGACAGGTGTGGTGGCGTACACCTTTAATCCCAGCACTTGGGAGGCAGAGGCAGGCAGATCTCTGTGAGTTCGAGGCCAGCCTGATCTACAGAAAGAGTTCCAGGACAGGCTCCAAAGCAATACAGGGTTATATACATATATATGATATACATGTTCACCATCACACATGGCATACATCAGTAAGTAGACTCTGGTATAACTGTGAATTTGAAAAGAAGCCTAGAGACCATCTCATCAAATCACACTAGGAAATGTGGATCCTCAGAGACAAATGAGTTGTAAGAGCCTCAGAATAAAATGGCTATCACCAATCTCACAATTCCTGGTGTGCAGTTTTCCAAATCCACCACGATGGAGAGACCCTGGTAGGAATAGCCTTCGTTGATCATGATCAGGAAGTACAATCCATTGTGAATAAATAAGATATGGTTTGTCCTTTTAAGGGGTTGACAATTTATGTGGAGAGTCGTAATAGCCACACAAACTGCTAACAATACAAGGACTCTACAGGTTCTAGAGAAATGACCCAAGACAAGGAGAGTCTCAGAACTCCTGAGGATGGGCTCACTTCCAACTCTGGCAAGTGACAGGAGACTCTTAGGAGAGCTGAGGTTTTCAAGATGCAAGGAAAAAAAAAAAAATAAAGACGACCACTTGAGTCATGAAGAAAAATAACTAAAATTTAGGAAAAATTCAAGGTACATCTTGAGGACAAGGAATATTAATTTGGCCAAAATAAAAGGTCAGTGTAAAATCATTATAGAAAAGCTTGGAAAAACAGAAAAGGAAGAGTTAACTCAGGTATGAGAACACAATGCCCGCCCAACTAAAGGAGCTAGGCAATATTTTCAAGGTAATGAACAGCTAAATGGAAGTTTCTGAAAAATTACTAGAGTCCTCTACACTAGTAGTAGAAGACAGTAGTGGGAAGGGGATGAGAGATGGGGATTCAAAAAGAAAGAAAAAAAGGAAGACAGAAGAAACAGACAGGGGAAGTCCAAAGACAAAGCCACGCCTTAATAAACATTAAATGACAGGAACTTGTTTCTACTCACAGTTGTTCACACGGACACAAAACTGTGTGATTCCACTGGAATCCGTGAAAACTCTGGAAGGAAATGGGGAGTTGCTCCTGAAGATAAGAGAGTTGTCCACACATACCCAGCTGGCAGATCTGTGAAGAAAGATGAAGCCATTGAAGGGTGGTAAAGGATAGGGTTAGGGAAGGGGCCCTACCGATATCTGATGCCAGTAAGAGGCTCTGTGGGTAGCTGCGGTACAACACACAGGTTCTGTCTTACTGGATGGCTCCACTCTACAGAAACAGGAAGAAAAATCACTCCCAGGAAAAACCAAGGGAACATCCAGGGGTTAGGAAGTAGGGCTAGGAGGCTCACTCTTACTTCAAGAACCTAAGACCATGGCAGCTCACCTTACACTACCAGGAAGGCAGAAGGAAAAGACTGTCCTGGGATGGAGAAGGTCGCAGTCCTTGTCACAGCAGCAGTTTAAATCGCAGGTCCCAGGAGTCAAGTCACAGACGCAGATCGGTAAGGCTGTAAGTGCAAGTTAAATAAAAGTGACATGAAGCTCCCCAAAGTTTTCCCGCGTCAACAGTCCCTACCGGCTTTGTGGCGAAGCAATTTTATTCACAGAATTTTTAAGTCTGAGAAGTCAGTATTTCCATCCCGCATCCTGCCGCATCACCTGGGAAGGGGTCTGTGGTCACGTTCTCGGGCATCGACGGGGTCCCGGCAGTAGGACCCTCAGACCAGTCCGGCGGAGTTGCAGTCGCTACTTCGGGTGTCACTGGTCCCAGGGCAGAGGAGGTGGGCAGAGCCTGGGTAGGGGAAGGCTGAGGTCCGGCTGCGTCAGGAAGCATCAGGACCAGCACCGTCAGCAGGTGCAGCTGCAGAGTGCACATAGGGCAGCCGGGCAGCAGAGGGGTGCTACAGGACCCTGGATGTCCAGATACGTCCTAGGAGCGCAGGGAGGAGGAGTCGCATCGACGTCATCCACTTCCATCTGTGCATTGGCTCAGGCGGTTGTTGACTAATCTTCGGCCAATGGAAGGCCGTGTTGTTGCGACCCTGCGTATCCTTCGTGCTGCGCCCTCCTCCTTAGCGGCGCGTGGCTCCCGTCACCTGGCAACCGCTGGGAGCCACCCCGGCGGAGGCGCCTTTGCGCCTTTTCACCGCTAGATGGCGGCTGCCGTCATGTTGCTACCTTATGCGGACCTGGAGGAGTCGAGTGAAGTCTTGGTTGAATGGAAGACCCAGAGGCAGAAACTGGAATTACATGGCTCTTTCTATCCGGTTTCCCAAGGTAAGAAAGAGGCCCTTTCTGTGGAAAGAGAAACACATGGGAAGCCACATCCCTTTAACATGCCGGGAAACCGAGTACAGGTTCATGCTCCCGAGACTCAAGCAGTTTCACGAGTTTTAGGCCAGCCTGGGCTACAGAGTGAGACTCTCTTCCTTAAAACAAAGACAAAGGGGTAAAGTACCCATGATAGGGGCTGGAGAGATGACTCAGCTGCCAAGAACATTTGTTCTTTCAGAGGACTCGGGTTCGCTTGCCAGGACCAAGATTATGCCTTACACCATTCAAAACTCCAGTTCCTGGGGATCCATTGTCTGGGTCATCTTCTGACCTCAGTAGGCTTCAGACACATGCATAGACACATGTAGGCAGAACAAGCAAATGCATAAAATCTAAAAGAATTATTTAAAATAACTCCACTGTAATACTGTGGTTTTTTTTAAGCACAATAAAAACAATACTTATTTAACTCCATGAGTGTTTTTTTTTTGAGTCATAGTTTCATGTAGCTCAAGATGTGGTGAAGGATGGCCCTGAATTTCTGATCCTTTTTTGTGTCCTGCACACCCGGCAAACACTCTACCAACTTTGATTTTATTATTGGAATTAAAAAAAAAAAAGAATCCGTAGTAAGTGCATCATATCTATAAAGGGATCTGTGTATTTGCTTCTGGAAAGGGTAGTAAGAGGAGAGGTCCAGTACAGGAAAACGATGGAGAAGGATGTGAGGAGTTAGAAAAAGCCAAAATTTACAAACACATTCTGAGGAGAAAGTAAAGCAAGCTAGAGAAATGGAAGGAGCCAAGGAGCTGAGGAGAAAGCTTATTCCATTTTTACCACTTTAAATACAAGATTCGGCAGCACTTCCTAGATTGTGTGCTTTCTTAGGAGTGGAATGCCCCTTCTGACTGTCTAATAACAGGCATTCTGTGTTTGCACTAATCTGGTCAGCACTGGCACGAATGGCTATTGTACCTGTATGCTTGAGCTGCTAAATACTTAATTTTAAAATTGTAATTAATTCAAAGTTAAACAACCCCAGGTGATTAATAGCTACTTAATAGAGCAGCTGGATTACATAGGATCAAAGCCCACCTGCCAGATGTTGTCTCCCTGAAGTCACAATTCCAACGTCTGGATAACTTTAATTGTTTGGAGAAATAAAGTAAGTTACCTGACTAAATTCTAGTCCGCTTCCTTAAAATTGACTTTTGATACCTCTCTTTTCCAGTGTATTTCCTGGGAAGGTCAGATTTGGGACACTTGAAATTGCTCATATTTCCCAAGAAGATCTTAATTTTAATAATGCCTTTGAAATTCGTAGCTAAATATTCTCAAACATTTTTATGTGATTGGGTGGTGAACTAGGAAATAAATAAATAAATGAATAAATAATATATTTATGTGGTATTTGGCCTTAATACACTTATTGGTTGTATTAGCAATTTCCATAGTGGTTTTTAAGATTTATGTTTTATTTTTTCTGTATGTGTAAGTGTATCTGTGTGTGCTTCATGCGTGTGGTGCCTGTGAAGGGCAAAGGAGGGGAGTAAGATTCTCCCGGACCTGCAGTTACAAGAGGTTGTGAGCCTTCTGGTGTGGGTGATGGGAACTGAATGCTGGTTCTCTGGAAGAGCAGATAATAGCATTCTTTCACATTGAACCATCTCTCCAGCCCATGTTCCACAGCTTTTCAAAGGCCAAATTTATCTTACTCAAATTATATGTATTTACTAGAATATAATTTCTGTAAGGTAAGAGGCTTTTATTTCTGTTTGCTGATATGTTCCTTTGCCTAGTCATGCTAGCTATGCTCATATGTGAACATTTGAGATATATATTGATTGTTTTGTTGAACTCTTTCTATTTAGCTCCTGGGTGATTATTTTATTTCAGGTTGTGCCTATCTTCCAAAGCTCTGTTTTATGTCTGATCATAAAATCTTTCAGATCTCGAAGTTTAGAATTTGCATTTCCACTCTCAAGTTAGTCCTGGATGACGGTTGGCAAGCTCGGCTGATTGAAGTAATCTCAGGGTTGACTGATAAGGAAGTGTTGTTCAGCAACATCTGAGTTGCTTTTTCTTATCTTCAAATTTCAGCTCTTAAGGGCTGGGTTCAGCTCAGAGGCAGAGTGCCTACCTACCATGCTATAGGCCCTGTGCTGTCCCCAGCACTGTGGGGTCGAGCATGAGTTTATGTCTCCAGGTAATTTTTCTGTAGTCTGTAGAGATCTGGGGAAGAGGAAAAAGGAGAGTTAGAATTTGTTCCCAGCCTTCCATCTTGATCCAATCTGCTATGTTTTTAACCACATATTGAATATTTTTCTTCTCAAAACACAGACAGCTTGCTGGAATCATCATATGATCTAATTTGGAAATCTCTACTTCTGAGGTGATGTCATATTAGCCCATCCAGAGACTTGGCTCTATCCTAAAACTGGCATCTGCATGGCATATGGGAACAAATTTCATTTGCCTCAAAATCATCATTGAGTTTCTTTTTGGTGTCGTTTGCTTTTCAAGACAGGGTTTCTCTGTGTAACTGTTGTAGTTGCCCTGAAACTCACTTTGTAGACCAGGCTGGCCTTGAATTCACAGAGACCCCTCTGCCACCTGAGTGCTGGGGATCAAAGGTGTGTGCCACCGACACCCAGCAGATTCCAGCAAGCAGAAAGTAGGAAGAATTTTTGTTCAACTGTCACAAATGGGGATGAATTCTCTCCTCTACTGTAAAAGTAAACATCACAGAAAAGTCTGCTGGGTGCACAGACTCTTGTGCAAGCATGGACACATCTTGAAACTGAAAAACAAGAAAAGGGCATTTCCGGGAAGAGATAGACAGCTGTGAGCTGCCCATCTGCTGTAGCTTTGCTGCCATAGAACCTCAGTAGAAGAGGCAGACTCTTATCTCCTATCTCCTGTGAAATTTTTTGATCTTCTACTATGTTTTTAGCTTTGGGAGAAACCTGATCATCAAAGCAAATGGCTAGCAATGTTGCCAACAAGACAGACCCTGGATCCATGAAATCCAGAATATTCAGTGGGAACTTCAAGAAGTCAAGAAGTCAGATGTAGAGGCAATCTTTTCATAGTATGGCATAATTGTGGGTTGCTCTGTACACAGGGGCTTTGCCTTCTTCAAGCACGTTAATGAGAGAAATGCCTGGGCTGCGGTTAGCTGGACAGGGTGGCCAGGGTTTAGGCGTTCGTTAATCTTGCTGCCGCACAAAGGGTGAACTGAGTAAGAGCGAGTGTGAAATGGTCTGCAGCAAAGATGTATGGTTGCTTATTTGACTTGGACGATGACTTCCGACGGAATTATAATGACAGGATGTGCAGCTACCCATCTCAGCCCCAGCAGAGACGAAGAAGGAAGGGTCTAGAGAAGAGCAGAGCAGCCTGACTGGGCAGGAACATGAAGATGGAGTCTGAGTCGGATGCAGATGACTCTGTTGGGCAGGTAGCCTGCCGGACGATGAAGAAGGAGATGGGGGTGTGGCCAGCTGGAGCTGAACAGAGATGATGGAAAAGAGGCTGAGGAAGGAGAGGCTGATTCTCAAGCACAGGGTGCAATTTAGACATCATATCTCATCATTCCTTTACCCAGGCGCTTGTCAGAGACAGAAGTAGCAGCCACTCCTCTCCCAGTACCTTCAGCAACCCCCCCCCCCCAGTCCTTCCTCTCTCTATCCTTCCTGTGTTCATCCATTCATCATAGCCCTGCACCTGGTTCCGCTTGCACGCCCTCTGATGCTCCTTGGTAGTTTGGTTAAGTCTCACCATGTAAGTTTTTCTTTAAACTTTGGTGCCTCTTCGGCTTCACTATTAAAAAAAATATTTTTTTTTTAAAAAATAAAAACAAAACCAAACCATGAAAAGGTACTCTCAGTGATCGTGTGTGTGGGGGGAGGGTGTAAAATAAGTATTTTTTACCTAAACTGTATGAAGAATCCATAGGAAATTAACAAAACTTGGTCAGGACGTGACCAAGCTCTTTATGAAAGAGTTAGTCTACTATAATTTGGATCTGAAGTCTCAGAGGACCAGCCTGTGGTGCTGTTGTGAGGTGATAGAAACTTCTAGAAGTGGGGCATGGCTGGAGGAAGTGTTCTGGCTGTCATGGGATGAGTACCTTCTTCTTGCCCTGTGCTCCTCCCTTGAGGTTTGCTTCATACAACACAAAGGGTGTGGGGCCAAATGACCATGAGCCAAAACCAACTATATAACCCTTTCCTGCTCAAAAGCTATTGTGTCAGGCATTTTATCACAGTGCTGGAAAGTTGTCTAACACGATATCTGAATGACTGATGAACAAAAGAGCAGAAACATTACTGATCAAGACAACAATAAAATACCATAGCCCTCAAAAGAGCAAAAGATAGAAATAACAGCTAATACAAAGTTTCAGTGAGGATTTAGAGTCACTAGAGTTCCCTCTTTTCTCTGTGCCCCCATTCCCTTTTTCAGACAGGATCTTGTTTGATAGCCCAGGTTAACCTCAAACTCACAGTGGTCCTCCTGTGTCAGACCCCTGAGTTCTGAGATTATAGGCATAAACTATCATGGTGACTACTAGAGTAAATTGTTATGACCAAAAGACTTACATGAGGATATTTATAGCATAGCACTGTTTATATCACGCCCATGATCACACAACAGATGTATATGTCATAGTATAGTATAGTCATATG